AATACTTAATCAGTGGAATCCCTCTTGCCGCAAAGCCTGTAATGTAACTTGTGTTTTTTGTCAGTTGATGAAACTTTCTCATACGGCTTACTTTTAGTGATATACTGAGGTGACTGGACATGCCAAAATATGTGCTTAAGTAAAATCACTTGTATTAAAAAAGAGCTGATCTGTACAAAAAACATTGGACAGCTCAGAGAAGTCTTGACCTTGCTATAGTCCTTGGCAATAAACTGTATTGGCCAATACATCATTTTTTTCTGCTCATAGGATGCTCCATTTTGCAGACATTTTCTTCTCTGTGCATAGAGAATGTACGGAGACTGAATAAAAGTACAAAAGTATTTATGCAAACATGTTTTGTCCATTTTCCATTTGCTGTCCATTCTAACGTACAGAGTTATTCATACATGATTGAGTAATTGTATGACATTATTCCAACCATCCTCATTTCTCCGCCCATATGCCCATTTCTTTATACTCGCTCTGGTTAATAGATTTTTACTGAGCTTTCACTACAATTAGCCGGGCGGCACGGTGGCTGAGTGGATAGCACTCTCGCCTCTCAGCAAGAAGGTCCTGGGTTCGAATCCCGGTCGGACCAGGGCCTTTCTGAGTGGAGTTTGCATGTTCTCCCCGTGTCTGCGTAGGTTTCCTCCGGGTACTCCGGTTTAACCTACCACTAAAAATATGTACAATAGTTCTGGCATGTGCCTCCTGTACTGGCGACCCCGCTCCCATCTCTGTGTGGAGTGAGAGACAAATGCCCAAAAAATGTACAATTGTAAACCGCTTTGAGACTCCGATCTGCAGTGAAAAGGCGGTATATAAATAAAAGCTTACTTACTTACTTATTTGTTTACGCAGTCCAAAAGTATAATATTCTATAGTAAATGTATTTCCCCTACAGTTTTACGTGGTGAAAAGTCTGATGAAATGATGATTGTATCACACACATTGTAAAAAATATATTTACATGGGAAGACTCATTGCCAAAGACTGGACAATTATTTTACTTAAAATGATATTGTAAAATACCAACATTTCCTTTACTGCAGAATATTGTAATATTGCAGAAAGTTGTAAACTTTCAACATGACTTTACACATCTCGGTACGACAAGTAGCTCAACAGATAATTTAATTTTCAAACTTGATTAATCTAGCACAGACTGCCGTAGTCACAATCCTCCTACAAAACTATTGCAGTGCAGCTCCGCAGTCATCCATCAAACACATTACTTGAGGACCAATAAAGTTTGAGAAGTGTAGAATAATTAGAACAGAGTCAAATTTGATTCATGGCATGAATGCAGAGCAATGATCATTACCAAATAGGTCCATAAATAAATATGTCAGCCTAAAGTTTGCGGCAACATTATTTGTTCCATACAATCAGTTGGAATTTTTATATATAATAAACTCGGTCTGGTCACTTCTCCCGTCATGTTCCCTGCAAAACCTTTGTGCATTTAACATTTTTAAACAACTTATGGACTTTACTTTACATCACCCAAGTAGGCACAAATCTGAGTTCTAATGTGGAATCCCATCATGTTGGTAGTCAGTCATCAAAGCCAACAAACAGCGCAAAAGACATTTGTTTCATAAGCCAAACATCATTCATTCATGTTCTACCTCTTTATTAATCTATTTCTGGGTCAGAGGGTGGCAATGAGAGCTTGGGCAAAGTGGGGTTAAGTGTGTGTGTCCCAGGGACACAACAACAGCAGATTTCAGTGGGAGCAGGTCTCATAGGGGCATTGAACCCTCGACCTTCAGGCCCAAAGGCCAATGCGCTACCAACTGAGCCACTGTTGCTCCTTAGGAAAACTTATTTGGTTTTTGGATGCTGTAGTAACTACCTGTGGCCTATATTTATCATAAGCGATGCCCAAACAGGTAGTTACATTATAAACCTTTTATAAGAACTGGGGGAAAATAAACAACATTTTGAGTACATTATTAAATTCATCCATCCTAACCATTTTTGTTAAATTACTTGTCCAATCTGTTGCATACAAAAATATTCCACAATGCAATCCCATTGGCTCCAAACTTCTGATCCAACAGCTGTTTGAGAAAAAAAAAAAAAAATCTCCAAAACCAATTCAAAGTGAACTTGTTTTCTAAACGTTTGTCAAGTCAGGTTACTACAAAAGAACTAGGATGGACACTTTTAATTAAATAAAGCTGTTGTGAATGAGTGAATGCCAGTCGTTGAAAGCAATGTAGTCCATTCATCACTCTCGGAAAGGACCGTTCTGCCCACACTTTGGCGTCCCCCTGCGTTGGCTCTTTTGACTGATTTTCTTGTTGTACTTGCCGTACAAACAAAGGCACCCCTGTAGATTTATGTCTCATCCCTCTCTCTCATATTGGACTCGGTGGGTTTTAAGGCTGTAATTAAATTCCAATCCCCACTCTCACTTGCGCGCTGACTGTCCCTGGCTCGGTGGGAGGTTGAGAAGCTGGCTTTTACCGCCTGTTGTGGTTTGTTTGAACAATCCTGAGTTCTGCGGATAGCCCAAGCCCTCCATGATAGCATTCACACATGTGGTGCAGACACATATAGAGCCTGGACTGGTGCGACATCCGGTCTGTTTGAGTGCTTGGGAAGATTGGGTGTTAAACTCCCTCCTTGTGAACTCAGGGATCACTGTATTCTCCCGTCAATGTCAGGGGGATGTCATTTCAACAGGCCGGGTATAAAAGAGCTTGGTAAGGTAGTCAAAAAATACCCGTCCCAATAATTCCATCATCGCTTCCTATCAAACCCTTGGCTCATACTTGATAGGCTATCTACTGCCAGAGTGCAAATGGTTGGCACAAATTGGAATCAAGTGCAGAGCTCGGAATTTCATCTTCTATCAGACCACATCAATATGAAGTGTCATACAGCGTAAAGGTTATGAGCTGAATGTTTAACTCAATATTCACATGTAAGTCAAATTCTAAACTTGCTTTAATTTCGTTTTCATCAGACTTGAGTACAACTACATAAAAGCAGAGCTACTCTTACTAGTCTGCAACTAATTTCTATTGGCAGTCGTTTGGGTATAGGTAATTCGTAAAGAAAAAGACACTATAATACAAAAACAGAATATGCTGCTGAAGACAAAACCCAATCTTAATCTTGTTAGATCTAAGTGCTGCCTTTGACACTGTCGACCATGAGATCCTCTTACAGAGACTAGAGGACTGGGTTGGAGTCGCTGGCACCGCCCTAAGTTGGTTTAGGTCTTACCTTGAGGACAGGAAGTACTTTGTGGAGATTGGAAACTGTGTCTCAGATCATATGGCCCTGAGCTGTGGAGTACCACAGGGGTCGATCCTGGGACCTCTTCTGTTCAATCTCTACATGCTGCCGTTAGGTCAGTTAATACGCAGAAACAAAGTGACCTATCATAACTATGCAGACGACACTCAGATCTATGTCTCACTGACTGCAGGAGAACATGGACCAGTGGACTCACTCCTTCACTGTATCCAACAGATCAGTGAGTGGATGCAAAACAACTTCCTTCAGCTAAACGCAGACAAAACTGAAATGATTGTCTTTGGTCCCCAGAAACAAAGAGAGAGCGTCATCTGTCATCTACAGTCTCTCTCCCTAAAACCTTCAAACAAGGTCAGAAATCTAGGGGTAATACTGGACTCAGACTTAAATTTTAATAGCCACATCAAATCAGTAACATCAGCAGCTTTTTACCATCTAAAAAACATTGCCAGGATAAAAAACATAGTGTCTAAAGCAGACTTGGAGATTCTTATCCATGCATTTGTCTCCAGTAGGTTAGACTACTGCAATGGCCTGCTCACAGGTCTGTCCAAACAGGCTGTAAAACAGCTGCAGTACATTCAAAATGCAGCCGCTCGAGTCCTGACTAGAACCAGGAAGTACGACCATATTAGTCCAGTTCTCAGGTCTCTGCACTGGCTTCCTGTGGCTCAGAGAATAGACTTTAAAACAGCTCTGCTTGTGTACAAGTCTCACCATGGCCTCGCACCAAAATATATTAGTGACATGTTAGTACCATACGAACCAGCCCGGACTCTGAGGAGCACAGGGACTGGACTCCTGTTAGTGCCCAGAGTCAGAACTAAACACGGGGAGGCTGCTTTTCAGATTCATGCTGCTAAAATCTGGAACAGTCTTCCTGAAGATGTGAGACAGGCCTCCTCTCTGACAATGTTTAAAACCAGGTTAAAGACAGTTCTGTTTAGCTGTGCATACAACTGAGGGATTTTATATTTGTATCTTTCTTTTTAATGTTCTGTGATTATTTATGATTTTAATGCTTTCTTATTTTGTTCAGCACTTTGAATTGCCTTGTGTATGAATTGTGCTATATAAATAAACTTGCCTTGCCTTGCCTTGCCTTACAGATATGACATGTATTTTAACTGTCAAATCTACTGAAAAATAATAAACTGTCTCTTGTCTTGTAAATTCCTGTATTGGTTTAATGTACCATTGCTGATGACCATGTCCTAATCAATTATTATCAGCTGGCATTCCGAAATTATGTTTGTATGTATGGATGGATGTGTTTCTGCGGCTGGAAAGTATCTATAAGTATTTATCTATCTATTTACTGTATCTATCTCAACGCTTCTCAACAAGAAGCTCTTGGGTTCGAATCCCAGTCTTTGAGAGGTGAGTGACAAATGCCCACAACAATTGTACAGTGCTTTGTGGTCTGTGAAAGGCGTTATGTATATAAGAAGATGACTTACTTATTATCAATCTAAATATGTCACACATATAATTCAGAGAATTGATAACCTCGACATACTTTGTCACCTTGAACAAAACTCAATCCAAGAATTTGTCAAGTTGGTCCACTCAAGTTGCATTGTCATGACCCCATTCTCTTGGACTTAAACTATCTGGTAATGCCATTCCGACAACCAGCCGCAGTTGTGCAGGGTGAGAGTGCATTGGGGTGTGTTCATGTGCCCATCTGAATAACTCAATCATTGTACCTATCAAAGCCATCATGACTTCGCGGGACGACCACCCACTGCCAAGGCGCAGATTGCTGGCCTGAACCCATAGCCTCGCCAACAAACTGGAATCGAGTGGCGTTCGTTGGGGCCTGTCAGCTTGCCCCCCCCCCCCCCCCCCATCTCCTTCCCCTTGACAGCGATATGAGTGGCTGGGCGAAAGCGTGTCCCGTCCGGCAGAATGGGGGTGGGGGGTAAGGGACCAGCGGGAGAGCCAGGATGAGTTCTGCACCACTGATCCACACTGACAGTGATGGACAGCTTCGGAGAGGAGAGCTGATGGCCGAGCTTTTTCTCCTGTCTGGACACTGTTTGAAAAGATGGACATGGCGGTCGTGGGGCGCGTTGATGTGGTCGTGCGTGCGTGTCAAACGGTCAAGCAGCCGAGCAAAAAATGTGAAAAGTGACACCGGAGTTTGTGATCAAAAGCCAGGGTTTGGTCCAGTGTTATCGCGTGCACAGCCAAATAAATGTGTGGATTAGTTATTGGGCTGTGTACAACCAATTCAGAAGCCAAACTATAAATCTTAATCATTTATGTCTTGGCAGATTTTGTTATAGAAAGAGAAAGTGGTTTGGAGGTTGAGGCGAGTGAGTGCTTCTTCATTAAGGACACTTGAGTGGCTCATTCAAAGTTTTAGCATTTGAAAACGCCAAGGTCGTCCAGAGAAATTAAAAAGTAAAAAAGCTGTGACAAGCTAATCGTACTTGAGATTATCAGCATTGTTCAAACAGAACTTACTTATTTCACCGGAATCCCAAACCTTGTAAAATAGTCACAATCATATACTTACATAAGTTTTTCAATTTTGAAGTGTTCTTCAATTGTCTTTATAGGTATATCTAAAAGTAAAAAGTGTATTGTGGAATCTTTTCATCCAAACATGTGCATCACAACTCCAAAAATATGTCCTGTTTCATGAACATAAACAAAATTATGTCTACAGATGCAGGGGCTGAATTGTTTGCAAAATGCAAAAGAGTTAAAAAAAATTAACAGGCTCTTAATCATTGAGTGGCAACTGAGTGGATTCTTTTGAAAAAATAATAATTTTAAGGTCAGGAAAATCTGACTAAAACAGTTGTGGGAAAACATTTTGAACTAGTCTAAGTGAAACCAAATGTAGCTTCCAGATCCACTAAGGTCTGTTTTTCATCATATGCTCCTCGTGCATACTAAAATTCTCAACCTTAATACACTTTTCTCTTTGCAGAGCTTGTTTTTTGTTCACAAAAAGTACACGTTCTTCTGTTGTGTGGAAATGATGTTCACTAATTTAAATTCCATATTTGTCAGAGTGAGGTAAAAACCTCCCTGTACGTCAGCAGCATATTCGCCACAGTAAACAACACTATTGAAGATTAATCAATAGAAGAATAAGACGGCATGGGACAAGAGTTTCCTCGGGTTGAGTTCATTCATACCTTTTCCCAATAGTCATACTTAACTCCTCATTCCTCTGATACATGGATGATTCTGGAGTCTTGTTGCTGTGTTGACATTTGCTGTGACAGTGTCAAGCAGCAGGCAGAAACCAGAGCTGCAATTTTCAAAGCAGAAGCAGTGAGTTTTTTGTGCAAATAGATGTTCTCTCTTTTCTCACTGAGTAAAGGTAAGGAAAACACCTGATCCTATTTATGTCAAATGTAACATGTACGTTTCTTCATTATGAGATCAATAAAGTTGTATCTTATCTTAAACGATTAGGGTGATTATTATAGGGTTGATGCCATTTGAAACATCCATGGCCAGCTGGTCATATGATAAGACTTGTTTTGGATGGCAGCTGGAAGTTGTGGAGTCCCGGGTTAAAATATCTGTACAGGAGCACTTGGACAGATTCTCATTATCCAGGTCGTTCGTAACTTTGCATTTAGCCGGATGAGACGACCAAAGGCACTTCAGAAATAGTGCAGACAACATACAAGTTCAAGATCTAACAAGCAGGGAATGGCTGGGGATAGGGAAATTCTGTGTCGTGTTGGTAATGACCCTTGGGGGGTGCCTGGAAATGGTCGAATAGTCATAGAATGCTTTTGTAATTGTATGTAGAAAGAAAAAAGTAAAACCTATAACTGCTATGTATTCCAAATTTTGATTCTTTGCCAGTCAACCGGCCAACACTTTCATCTGCATAACATTCACCAAGTGTTATAAAACAAATGAATTTCATTATAATAGACGGAGCACAAAATCATGCAATGAAACTAGTCATCCTCACCGCACATTAACCACTATGAAAATCCAGACATTTTTTTCCAACAGTGGGTGGCAATTATAGTAAAGCAGCGGGATCAGCGGGACCCATTTGATGTGTATAGTGCGGGGAATCGACTTGTCTTGTTAAAATCCGTGAGTTATTTGTCACTGAACACGCTTCTCCGTAGCTCATGCTTCGTTGAGTGCTGGGGCTTTTCCCTTTGACAAGTACGTCAAGAACAAACAGTCCCAAAGGCAGCAATTAATGCTGAACTCATAACACATGATGATACCCGTGGGCCTGGGATCTAATATGAACATTGGCACCTCTTGTTGTGCCGTTTACCCACTTGTCTGCTTTGATGACTTACAGTGCCTTTATTAAAACTGGATTCGCACGTGTGACTTCCGTTCAATAGTTGGCCCCGGCTCTGGTGACAAAGTAAGTCTTGGTTTGTCCATAACTCTGTGGGCCTGCGTCCTTCAGTGCTCGTACGCTGAAGGACAAATAACAAGAAGTGCCTTTTTTCCGAGCGGTATATATCTTCTTTATGATGAAATGAATCTTTTTTTTGACCGTGGCTCTCCTTCAAGATTTGCAGTCCCTCCAGGAAATATGTGCCTTTGACTTGGTTGAAGTTAACTAAAGCAGAAGTCTTCTCTTCCTCTTTACTCCAGGAAGGTTTCAAGGTCTATGAGACTGCAATGGTGGTTATGTCCCCAAACAGAAAGAAAAGTTATTTACCTAGGCATAATAAAGTTTACGCCAGAGTCTAAAGGTTCAGAGGAGATAGGAATGAAGCTGCAACTAATTTAATAACAAAATATTGCTTATCAAGATTTGCATTCAATTCAAATGAAGACATCTGTTGTGAAAAAAGGTTGGATATCTTTAACAAAGAAAACGTTTCATTATTGTTCCAGAGTTATGGTCTAAAGTGTACTTACTCTGGCATGCAAAAGTAGTAGCAAAATACAATTGTATGGTAAAGAATAAAAAAAACCTTTTATTGGTAATAAAATCAGTATTGAGTTGCCAGTATCAGTGTGGGGACAACATAATCTGTGCATAGAAAAAAAAGCCAGTTTATTTTGTCATTGAGTTTCTGGAGAAAAAGACATAAAGAGTGATTTACAATGAAAGGTATGGCTCTGCTTCCCTGTGTGTAAGATCATTCAGTCATTGAGCTGCAATGAGGCATAGAACTGAGGTCGGATCTGGCTCGCAATCTCTGTCACCAAGATCGCAGAAGGGATGTTGAATTAGCGTGTATCTCTCAGTCAAATAATTCATATAGTGTGGCAGGAAAGATTCTGGATAAAATCTAACTGTACAGACGGTATAGTATATTCTGTCCTCCATTAAGCATTAATGGGGCGTATAGCAGAAATATACTGCTCAATTATCGTTTAAGCTTTGAAGTTAATAACGTGAAAAATTAAAATACAAGACATTGAAGGTGGTTCTTAATTGCGTAATTACGTATAATGATTTCCAATAATGGTCTTCTCTCTTTGAGCAGATCAGTACTTGCTGTTTTCCCTTTGTGCTAATTATTTTCTAGTAAATGTAGTTGATGTAGTGACAATACATTATTGTTCTAGTCTGGAACAAGTTAGAAACCACAGCTTTATAGATATTTATTCAGGAGGTTTGAGGATCAACCCTAAACATCATTTACATCCTTGCAGTTGCACAGAAGTCCACCCATAAAACAAATACATATTCAGAATAGTACAATACAATCTAGTACTTATTTAAAAGAGTGGAATTAACTAAAAATCAGCGTGCCTACACAATCATTTTTTTCAGCTTCATCCTTTGCTCACGGGGGCAGCAGTCTGAGTATAGTGACGCCTAGACTTCCCTAATCACACACACTTCCTCCAGCTCAACCAAGGGAATTCGGAGACGTTCTTAGGCCAGCTGAGAGACATAGTCCTCCATCTCTTGGGTCTTCTCCGGGGTCTTTTCCCAGTGGGCCCAGAACACCTCCCCAGGGACACATCAAGGAGGCATCCTAAACAGATGCCAGCTCCCTTTTCACCACAACAGTCCGAAACAGTGACTGCATGACTGCCCCTGATTCGTCGGTCGAACGCGCCAATTTTGTTAACACTACAATCTCTGGGAACTTGTCTTGTGTAGCCCATGAGAATTTAGGCTGTAGTGGTCTTTGAGCGTACCGGAGACAGGCTTACGCAAACCAAGCATAACCATTTCTCAAAAAGAATAAAATAAAACGCTTTTCCTTACCTTTTGTTCTCATTGTATTTACCTTTGTGAGATAAAAATTTGACCCTGGCATTATAGACATCTTAAAAAGGGGTTACGTTTAAGTGCTACCCTATCTCAGAAAAGGTGCATTAAAGCATAAGAAAGTTTTGCCCAGAGAAAAATCAGTGTCCATACAAAAATCTTGCCCGTCACGTCTTCCTGACAGTGAGGGATTGACACAGAACATTTGAACTCTGCGGTTGCCAGACTTGCTTCCTCCTTGGTTTGGGGGGTTGTATCCAGGCTTCGGGGGCTTAGTGAGCCTGTTAAAAAAGGCTCTTGCTCATTTTTCCAGCTGCACCCTTTTAACGGTGCATTAAATGACAGTTTTCCCGGGAGAAGACACAGGAGAAACAATGGAGCACTGCTCGGAAACCCCGGGAAGGGCAAAAAAGCAAATCATGGTTTAATCTACAGTAGGAAGAGACAAAACAGACATAGGGCAGATGACATTATCTTCACTCAACTCACTTATCTAAAAAACTAATCAGAGCCCTCTCACTAAATGCATTCAATATGTTGGGAATTGCAAACTGCATTACTTTATTCCAACCATAACCATGAGATGTAATGTAATTTATTCAAGCGTTCAGTAAAAGCTTGGGAAAATATTTATCCAACTTCCATTTAGCAGTTTTGTATGGTCTAAAAAATGGAAAATGTGTGTTCTGAAGTTGCCAAGAGGACAGAAGAGAGCCCAGAGCAATGTTAGCAAATCTTAAATGAGCTTTTACTTGTTTGGTTCAAAGGTTCAAAATAAGTGGCGCAAATACTGACATCATGACTTGCCAATTCCCCATCTTAAGCAGTACAAGTGAAGAGACAGAAAATGTCTTCAGCAAAAAACAACACGCAACACACATAATGAAAAACTAGAGAAGCAACGTGGGGCGCAGATCTCCATAAAAAAATTACATTCTTCTAATACAATCCTGCATTGAGACAGTGATTCAGTTTCGAAATGTAATCATCTGTTCACTGGGCCATTTCTCATCTTGTCAGAAAATTGCATCCAAATCCTCCAATAACTTTTCAATTTATGTTGCTCACAGACAAACAAACAGACAAACGGCATTGATCACGTTTCCACCTGGGCGAAGGAAATCATTATCTAATAGGTTTTGCATATGACTGGGACTGAAACAAAATCCAAATCTCACAAGACAATATCACTGTAGGAACCAGTACTTCTTGTGGTACTATGAAATACTGAGGCCATGATAGCGTATTACAGTACATATTATAA